AGACGCCTAGTTGACCGAAGAATGTATGTTGTCAGGTTAGGTTGACAAGTTGGAACCCATCTTGGATTAAGAAAATTTAACATCAAGAGCACCGCACTTTATTTAATGATTGTTTTATACTGTTTAATGGTTGTTTTTATGTTGTTTTAACTGTTGTTGTGGCAACTGCCTCTGTTGTTAGCCGCCCTGAGCCCATTGGGGAGGGCGGGGTATAAATCTAATACATAAATAAATAAATAAGCTGAGTTAGTGTGAGCTAGCTCACAGCTTTTTAGCCTCCGGCTCACACGTTTTTGTCTGAGCTCAGGAAGGAGGGCTCCAGAGCAAACCATTTTATGTGGTAGCCAATTCGCTCACTCACAACTTGAATGCCGGTAGCTCACAAAGTAGAATTTTTGCTCACAAGACTCCGCAGCTTAGAGGGAGCATTGCTTGCGATCTACCAAGCTGAGAACAGATTTAGAGTCCGGTGGCGCCTTTAAGGCCAACAAAGGTTTATTCAAGGGATGAGCTTTTGTGTGCAAGGCACACTTTTTCAAATACATTAGAATGGTGGGTAAGGCAGGCCTGTAGATAGGATTTTTTAATTTGGGGGGGGGGGCTTTAAATAAATATCTTCGGACAGCGCTGGGTCTTCGGCTTTGAAACGGAGATGAGGACCGCAACCCTATAGTCGGAGTCGACTGGCTTTCGAGCAAGGGAACCTTTACCTTTACCTTTTACCTTAAATAAGTCAGGGGTCACCCCACACACCCCCCTGCACCCCCCCAAGGGAGCGCCTAAGCTGGATGAGAAGTTGGGGGGCATTGGTGGTAAGTCAGGGGGCCAGGCCCCGAGTTGCCCCACAGTAGCTATGGGCCTGGGGTAAGGTTCAGCCTTACAGACGGGGCGGAACAGTGAGTGGACATGTAATTCATGCCTGCCCTTGACTCAGCCCCAGAGCCAGCTCCTGACAGCCTAAGAGGGGAGGATTCAGTGCCTTTAAGAGCTGAAGAAGCATCAGGATCTGCACCTACTGTAAGTACTGAGGAGGATACACAGCAATCTGAGTCAACTACAGGACGGTTTGCACCTGGGATTGAGCAGGCCATAAGCAGCTCACCACCTGCATCTCCCCCACCTGTAAGTAG